GGCATTAGACAAGTGTGGGTAGGTTCGACAACGACTGTCTATCAGGATGGCAATGGAAATTACCTCGGCAGTTCAGCACTGGTCATTGCGGGAATGGACAATGCCTCGACAATGGAGGCCATCGCGTGCAGAGAAGCCCTATGCTTAGCTGAGGATCTTCACCTCAACCAACTCGGCGTGGCCTTCGACTCAAAACAAGTGATCAGCGACATTAACCGGGGAGGACCATCATCAAGCAAATTAAAGCGCGAGCTCTCTCTTTTCCATGTGTGTTTACATTTGAAGGTCGAGCCTCTAATGCCGAGGTTCATAATTTGGCAAGATTTTCTCTTAATCTAGCTTTAAGGCGACATGTGTGGTTTGGCCAGCCTCATGAAGCAGCTTGTATCCCACACACTGTGAATTTTGATGGATAAAACTTGGCTTTACCCCTCAAAAAAAGGCAAACGTACATCATGCATATCCCTATATGCTTGATTTTTTCTGGGCAAAAGTAACAGGGGTTCATATGTACACCCATGTACTCATCTGGTTGTGCACATGCTCATGTCCTATCTTGATTTGACTCAGTTTGGGGTATGTCCGCAAGGAGATCCGGTGGTGCCTTTCTTTATAGCTATCTCTGAGGACATCATGATAGTTTGGAGTGGAGTACTATGTAGGTGGCTCTCTAAGGGGGTGTTTGTTTCCGGAGACTTTTTGGTGTAGACACTAGAGACTTTTTAACCAAACATGAGGGACTACTAGGGACTAAAAGTTGATTTTTGGGACTAAATGAAGAAGACTCTCAAGGAGAGTCTTTTTTGGGACTTTTGGAGACTTTTCCAACAATGCCCCTCCCTACACCCATTGCCCCGCCGCCCCATGATGTTGTTTGATTGTTATTTTTTTGTATACTAGAAGTAACATGGTCATTTAATAATCTTCAGGGAGAGACTAGGGACTTTTTAGTCCCTGAAAACAAACAGGAAGAGACTTTTTAGGGACTAGGGACTTTTTAGTTGGGACTAGAAAAAATCTTAAGACTTATAAACGAAACAGGGCCTAAGATCCACCATCAAGATGGTGACCACAACATTATTTTCTGTCCAGTGTAACAATTCACACTCTGGCCATTACTGGTCGGACCCTGCAATGACACACTTTCATAAGTGTCGGGCCTGATCCTCAAAAAAAAAAAGTGTCGGGCCATGCACCTTGAACGAAAATATGTGTCCTCGCCATTGGTAGTTAGATTCGGTGATGTCGGCATGAGTGTGTGTTATCCCCTCTTGATTGCATTGTTATGGACGAATAATGACTTAATCGTACATGTATTTTTTCGTATATCGGTATGGTTATATCGATGATATCTATTTCGTATATTGTACTTGTAGATAATTTGGTCTCAGTGTCTTGCCTCTACTTTAATAATACTCCTTCCGTTTTTTTTACTTCGCGTAAATTTTGTTAAATTTTCTAAGTTTGGCCAAGTTTATAGAAAAAATATCAGCATTCATAACAGCAAATTAATATCATTAGATCCATCATGAATCAATTGATGGATGTTTCTAAAAGCAAACACTTAAACCATACCAAATTAAATTATGTATACGCTAAATCAATATCAGATATTGATATGGGACCAATTAATGGACACTTTTTTTCTAAGAAAACATTGGTACCACCTTAGGCTAACCGTATGGGAGTGTCGTAGTTAGTATCATTCATGTCAACTAGGAAATTTTGATGAGGTGGCATAGAATTAAGTGAAAGAAAATTGAGTATCATATCATGATACCATATCATAATAATATTATACTAGTATGTGTCTTGTCTGGGAATAAATAAGATCATCTGAGATACTAATCTACTCCCTCCGTTCCAAATTACTCGTCGTGGTTTTAGTTTAATTTTGAACTGAAACCACGACGAGTAATTTAGAATGAAGGGAGTATAATACTATGCATCAAAAAGGTAGTACCATATACTAGTATCATATGCATGATTCTAACTTGTGATACTACGGAAAATACACAGGAGCTCATGGGTGCTCCACACCCCAATACGAATATTAATCATAAAAAATACCAAAAGAATTCAAAAAGTTCTGAAATTTGGGGATATGAAACATGGATTCTCAATCTACTCCTGTGTGAAATTTCGTGGAAAAATACCAGGAAACGTATCTGTGGCGAAAGAAATATTGTTCGAACAAAAATCAATCCAAACAGTTTTTTCTACACATAGGAATTTTTGTCTTTTTGCCCGAATACCTTTTCCTGGTATTTTTTTCACAAAATTTCACACGGAAGTAGACGGGACCCCAGATTTGATATCCCAAAATCTCAAAAAAAAAATTCAAATTTCTCGGTATTCTTTTGAATTTAATGTTCGTATAGGGGTGTGGAGCACCCGGGTATTACAAATCCGCTTCCATGATACTACCCATTACAGCCAGCCTTATAGCGCATGCATCAAGAATGTAGCGGTATGCACCAAGGGATCAACCACATTAATCGATACTTTTAGATACGAAGCAATAATTTATTAGATAGATATATGGTGTATATGACATGAATTCAGTTATCTCCGTCTGTGTATCCCAGCGCTTCTATTTAAACGCCCCCGGTTCACATGTCAGTGATCCTCGTCTGATTTGAGCATCTGACTGATCTCAACTCTCGAGCTTCGAAACCTCACTGATCGATCCAAGCCTAGCACACCACAATTCCACAAACCAGCAGCCATGAGGACCAGCATCACCCTCGTCATCGGTGTGGCCGCCATCATCTACGCCGTCGCCATGCCCGCCACGGCGATGCCCGGCGGGTGGGAACACATCCGTAACATCAACGACCCGAAGATCCAGGGGCTCGGCAATTGGGCGGTGGCGGAGCACATGAAGCAGGCGGGCGGCCGGTTCAGGTTCAGCAAGGTGGTGCTGGGCACGGTGCAGGTGGTGTCGGGCTTCAACTATCGGCTCCTCGTCGAGGCGCTGAACGGCGCCGGCAAGAAGGACGCGTACAAGGTGGAGGTGTACGAGGAGGCGGCCGACAAAGGGCGCAAGCTCGTCTCCTTCACCCCGGTCGCCCAAGAGGCGTAGGCCTTTTGGTGTATTTGTAATTCTTGATGGACATCGTCACAGCTCACAAGCAATATTAATGAGGCATCAAAAAGTTACAGATCCAACTGCATTACCTTTGACTCACATAATCTAAATGTCACTCGTGCGCATTCTAGAAAGAAAAAAAAATGAGCTAAAAAATTTGAGCTAACTGGTGGAAAAAGTGGATGCCTTATACGTACTACATTTTCAAACGGAGGGGGTGCACCAATGTTGCCATCTCAATGTAGTACAATTTTGAATTTCAAAGCCTGAGAGAACAGAATTGGTAAGTTCAGTTCTCTCTACAAAAAGTCAAAGCCTTCTTTGCCACGAAAGCTTTTATGCTATCTACACCATCAGATATGAGATGGTTTTGCGGAACAGGCATCTGGGTTCTACAGTTTTGGAGCCATCCAGTCAGTACTCACAAAGTCACAAGCTTAACTCATGCCTCCACGAGCCCTTTGCTACGTGCTTTCTTCTTCCCGCCCTTCCCCTCCTTTGGGCTTGCTTGATCTTTCTCTTCGACTTCGGTTTCTATTTTGGCAAAAATTGGCTTCGGCTCCATCATTGCCTGGCCTGCTTTAAGGGCTCCCCATTTGGTATCATCCTGCAGGGCAGTTAGCACAGGGTTGTAAGCATGTCGCGCCACTGGAAATTTTTTATATTGCATATCTGCTATTTATAGTTTGAAGATTGTGTTCTCTGAGGGTGTTAGTTCATATACACACTAGACAATGGCTGCAAAACACTTTGCAAAATTGAGTTTAGATCTAAATGGTATATCCCTGGACATACAAGAACATACCCATCTCAATGTACGAAACTGGTCTTCTGTGAAACCAAGCTGTGTATAAATCCTCAACGAAAGGCTTGGAGTGATTGGAGACAATGCTATTGCAATTATTCTCACTGTCTCTAGAATAATGACGAGATCCTGTAGTGAAGTGCAGACAAAAAAAATGAATAAGGCACATATCACAAACAAAGTAAAATAATAACATCAAATAAATAACACAAACTAGCCACCCAAAAATCATCTCAACAATTCATCAGAACGACTAAAGTCATGTTATAGTTTCATTATTACAGCCACAACAACAGAGTTGCTGTGACATAGGAATTAGGTACTCAGATGTACAGAATATAAAGAATTTTGAAGCTCACAGAGTGCTCTTCTGTTTGAAAGTGGGTTTCTTTTACAAACATGAAAAGAAGCAACTAATGCATCATGCAGTTTGACCTTAGCAGCATTAAATTTTGGCAAGTAAAATCTGAAACAAACACGGCAAGCCCAAAAGGAAGAGAAATAGATATAGTTTCAACTTTCAAGTGTTTACCTTTGCAGCCTTTTCAGCAATCTCGCCCCCTTGCTTGAAACAAGACCATGGTGCTTGCTCGTCAATGTACAAGTTTCCCAAGTTACCAATTTCTAGAACAGTTTCACATGCTGATGTCAACGAAAGATTTTCGTAATGGCCCTTCGCCTTGTCCACCTGTATACACAGTTTATATCACTGTAACACCAACAGATACAACAGAAGTGCAGTACATGCAAACATGTGTTAAAAGAATCTTCTTATTAGGCAGATCAATAGCAGGTGGTGATCTGAAATATCCAACATGTGTATGAAATATCAAGTGGAACCAATTCATAATGGACAACACGAGCTGACAGTGTCTGAAGCGCTTGTTGCTCATTTTCACATGTCAATTCAGCAATCACTATCTATAGCTCCAAGAAGAGAAATAATAAAACAGTTCAGCTAGGATCATTATGGTGGATGTCTTTACTTTCTGTAGGCCAAGAAACAGAACTTAAAGGAGCACCAAACAAGGAGCGATCATTACATATAAAGGGTTTCAAGCTTTTGTAATGCATTATTGGAAATGATTTCCTTCATAAAGATATTTTCCTATTTAGACCGTTTACTGTCTAGAAGTTCACTTTATAAAGCCAATTCAGACAACCTACACCCCATCAGAAGTAATGCAATGACAGATCAATGGTTTGTCATCAGTTCCGAAGATACCAAAGAGACCAACTTACCAAGTTTTCAACATTATTCTTGAATGAATTGCCATCTGCGGCAGCAATTGAATCAAAAGCTAAGGTGGAATTGCAGTTCTTTTTTAGGAGACCAAGTGTTCGATTGAGAAGGTTTCCTGTTCAGATGAGAACAGTATCATCACTAACCACTTAAGACAGACAGTTAACACCAACTAAAGCATAAGCCAAAAAAAATTGAATAAAAGTTTTAGTAAGCATAAATACCAATTGTGTTAGCAAGATGTGCATTGACTGTATTGATAAAACGTTCTTCTGAATAGTCCCCATCATTGCCAAATTCTACTTCTCGCAAGAAGAAGTACCTAACAGCATCCGCTCCAAATCTGCCTACCAGATCCTTTGGTTCAAGTGTGTTGCCTAGTGATTTTCCCATCTTCATGCCATCCTAAAATTTGCAAAATAAAAAGCAGCTGCATGAAATAAAAGTGATTTAATGAGATAAAAGTGGCTGGGAGCCCAGATAGAATTTATATTTGTTACTCAAAGACAAAACTACAAAGCAGTTGCTGTGTTTCACAATATCTGTGCAAGACAACCATGCGCACCAATGAGGCGCAAAATTTATAATAGTTAATGCCATTGGACCATACGCATCCCTATAAAATTAAAGGCTACTCCTACTCAACCTGTCCTGAAGCAATGAAAAAACTATTGTGAAATATAATTTCCCAGAAAAATGGACAAATTGTACAAAAGGAGGGAGAAGACAAACATTTATTTCACATAAAAAGGAGAACATATGTTCTTTACAATTTGACGTACACACATAGTAGAGGGTTGTAAACTTGAAAAATCGAGGAAGAAGGTGGCCAAAAATACAGACTTATCTATGAGCTACAAAGCCACAACTATAGAACATGTGAAATACCAACAGGTAAAAGGACGAATGCTAATACATAGGACAGACCCAGTGCATAGAAGCTCCCACACAAGGTGGGGTCTGGGGAGGGATTATAGGAACCTAGTCTTACCCCTGCAAAGTGCAATGCAGAGAGGCTGGTTCGAACCCAGGACCTCTTGGCACAAGTGGGGAGGACTTCACCACTGCGCCAGGCCTGCCCTCACGAATGCTAATACATATATATACTAATATAGGTGTGCTAACTTGTGCCATGTGCAGTACCATTATACAAGTTAGATTAAAATCGTACATAACTACATATGGTAAAACGTGATGTATTCTAAGGTAGAGATGATACTGAGTGGAAGTATGCAACCGATGTCCAAATGTCTAGATGGGAAATGCACATGTAGTTGCAGGAAAAGGCCTTATCAAATACGATGGTCACATAGACATGCTCAAAATACTATGTACTGTATGGTGTTATATTGCTATCAGTTGATGTGGAAACAAGAACATTGGAAATATGTGAGGTCACCTTTGTCAAGAATCCATGGCCAAAAACTGCATCAGGAACGCTTATCCCTGCTGACATTAACATTGCTGGCCAATAAATTGCATGAAACCGCAATATGTCCTGAGGTGCATGTACAAGAGATCGTCACAAACTGAATGAACATATAAAACAAAGAAGTTTATCCAATATTATTGCTTTTAAATGGGACAAAAATGTCAATATCTACAGTGACCAGCTCCAAGTAAATTGTACTGGAAGCAGTAGATTAACAGTACATTTTATGACGTTGGCATCTCCAGGTATTATGAAACATAATAAAATACATCAGATTTAACATATGAGAAGAGATGTGTTGTTCTTTCTATTTCTTAGCTGTCACATGTCTCTCACTTTCGGGAACTAGGGGATGGATCTGTCAAAATTGTTTCAACTGTGACCTACCAGTGCCAAGTCACCAAACCCAGCATGACACATGATATTTTTATTAGTGCAAGTAACTGCAGCTGAGGCACAAGGGCCCTATCGAAATAAGTTTAAATGAAATAGGATCTAATCTTGAGAACTGGAAGGAGTGAAACTTGTCCCCGAGTTTCGCCATATGGAAAACTGAGTGGCTATGTGATGTTAGCTGGTTACTGTATAGATCACCATAAAGGAGTTTATGTTTGTATATTCATTTCATAAATGTCATATTTCAGCACTTTCTCTTAGCAGCACTAAAAAAAAGTGGTACTATCTAAGTTCACATCAAAATGAGAACTCCTTATGACGATAAGAAGAAATCAATCAATATGATGTTTTGCTATAAGTTGAAACAAAAAACATGATGTTTGAAGAAGCTGCAAAAATTATTTGCCCAAAACCGACCTTTCCTATCAGGTGTAGAGATGCAGGCCAACCCCGATCAACAGCTTGCTGTAAACTTGCCTGCTCCCCATCATCTAGGGACGCTGAAAGATAACTAAAGAGACAAACATACAGAAATGAACAACCAATATGAAACAAAATAATAGGCAATGCTAAATAAGATTACTCTAGCCTCATTTCAAGATTTCAAGAAGTTAACTGCTCATTTATTACATGCGTGGACTAAGAGACTGGAGCATCTTTTGCTTTTGCATAGAAAGTTCGCAGTTTCGAGTAAACAAAAGAACAATTTATCTAAGAATTGTCATTGCCAAACATGAATATAAATCAATGAAGTTGAGTATATTCTATACTTGCATGGTAGGATTAAACAGAGGACACTGATATCAGACAACACGCCGCCTACAGCCATATCTATCCAGTAGAATTTGAGTAAGAATATGCAACCTGTTCATGCTTACGAAAATGCCAAGCAGCAGGCATGAAACATACAAACATACCCTAATAAGGCATCAAACCACACATATATTGTTTGTTTGGTGTCATTTGGCACTGGAATACCCCACTCGACAGATGCACGAGAAATAGAAAAGTCTCTCAATCCACTTTTAATCCAGCCTTCGACCTACAGCTGTGTCTTAATTAGTAAAATAACAAAGAAATAAGGGCATCCTAAAACCATGAAAATAAACACATGTGAGCTGAAAGATTGGCAATTAATGAAGCGTCAAGCGTTATATTTTTACTGAAAGCTAAAACATGAAGCAGAGTATGAAATTATTAATCTTGGGCACTTATATAAGAAAAAAAAATATTATCCTATCACTGTACACAAAACCAAGGTGTGTTACTGTGAGAAGAATAGAGGCTACTTAATAAAGTGCATTATGGTCAGTCAATGTGTAGGCATGCGCCGATGCACACATGTACTTTGAAATGTCATAGTTGAGATCCCATCTTGCCAGCGCAAGGAAAATAAACATGTGATGGCCAGGCTTCAAGTGCTCAGTAAGCTTTTTAGCCAAGACATCGCAACTCGATTACGAAGATGGGTAGGGGAGATTGCCAGAAACTACATCAGGTGACAAAGTCCAGGATTGGATTGAACAACCATGGCTCCCCAACACCAAACTCGCACTGTTTAAGCCGCCAAACCCTGACATGCTGCTGCTGTAAAAGCTAGGGATTACATGAGAACCGCTGTGGTCTAAAGACACTCTTCACTGTCTGTCGACCATTTTAACTTTTACCATATATACACAGCAGCCTTTGGAAGCTTTCTTTTTCAAAACTGGTAAACAATGACATCTAGGTTCTAATCTTTAAGCTAGTTAGGTATTAGGATGATATCTAAGTGACCATTTGATGGGTTGCCAGAAAGGAAATGTACTGTGATGATGTTTGTTCAACATGCCAACGGCACTTCTTGGCGAGAAGGAATGCGACAACCCAACAAAATCCACATAGTTTTTCACATATTTGACTGCACAGATATATTTAAGAAAATCGTGTCAAATCTTCAATAATACATATGCTGACATGATGCATATTTTTTTTAATCTGTCAGTAGTTAAATCAATATAATTAGAATCTCCATTTAATAAGCAAATAGTTCTACATTTTTCAACCGCAATTTTTAGCAGTAACTTGATAAACACACATCAGATTGAACAAAACATTATAGAGGATAACGCCTCACCTCGTGCAAACGATGTGATGGCCTTACAAAATTGGGATTTCTTGTCAGCAGCTCTTCTAATTTATGCTGATATTTTGACAAGGCAAAGAAATAGTTATCTTCCTTTCTAGGTACACAAGGCTTCAGATGCACAGGGCAGCAATTATTTTCTGCCAACTCCTTTTCATCCTGTGTGCAATCAACAAAACAGACATTATTATTTGGTAAATTTAGCAATACAGAACTGTAGAGATAATCTACATAGATGCCCATGATAACACTTGTTATAATTATCCATTCATACATGTATAAATACATTTACCTAAAAAATGTACTAGTGCTTCTATAGGAGAAGGTACAAAGAAGCTTGCCTTGTACTCCTCACAGCTGACACAGTAAAGTCCTTCGTAATCAGCTCTATATATGTCACCAGTGCTTAGAACTCTAGAATAGAAGTCATTAACAACAGCCTCGTGCTTAGGATCAGTTGTGCGAATAAACTTGTCATACTCGATGTCTAGCTGCAAGCAAAAACAAAGTTGGAAGAGAAATGTGAGCTCCAGATTTATGACATATTGTGAAATGGTAGACTGAAAATACTTTGTGTTGTGACATACATCAGCCCAAAGCATCTTGTATGAATTTGAAATTATATCACAGTGCTCCTTGGGGTTTCTACCACTGGCCTCTGCAGAGGTGGCAATTTTTTCACCATGTTCATCTGTCCCAGTAATGAATATAACCCTCTTCTCTAGCAATCTCTGCAACCAGATAAGCACCATGAACAAATTCTTAGAGAAGGTGTCGGGCAGCAAAAGGTACGCAATGCTCCCAGTAGCTCAACTAGTCTAACAAACAAATCATCAAACTATTTGCACTGCTAACACACAAATATATTGAAGTCTGTGCACCTGCATTCCCGCGGTACATATGCACTGGCATATTCACCACTTAACTAGAGAACAATGAAGCGCACCAGCCATTATACTGTTTCATACGGGTTGCGTATCCAAACATGGCTGCCAGCAGGTGGATCTCGAGTAATGTACTCAAATTCCTGACATGGACTTGTAAAAGTAGTGTGAAGGCTTGCCTGGAAGCGGGCGACAGCGTCGGCGGCGATGGTCGTGTATGCGCTGCCCATGTGCGGCGGCGCGTTGACGTAGTAGAGCGGCGTGGTGAGCACGTAGGGTGGCGGCGCGGGCGCGGAGGCATCTGAGGACGAGGAGATTGAGGCGCAGCAGCGGGCGCGGACGCGTCGGTGGGGCGCGGAGGCGAGGGGGCGGGACGGGGGTGAGGCGAAGGCTAGCCGACGGGCGGTGGCTCCGATGGAGGAGGGGGCGCAGAAGAAGGCCCGCCCAGCGGCCATGGCGGAGGAGGGGGGAGAGGCGGAGTGGGCTAGGGAGGGGGTTTTGGGTCGCGTTCGTGAGGCAGAGAGAGCAGATGTTTGAGGTGGGGGACGATGGCGATGGGAATGGGATGCAGCCACCCTAATCCAAATGAATTTCAGTGGATTTCTTTACTCTCCTTTGATTCAAAGCAATTTCACAGGATTTTTAAAGGATTTGGATCCTTAGAAGTCTTTCTTACGTTCGTCGTTTGATTCCTAGAATTGAAATCCTTAAACAAAATCTTACATTTTTTTACACTCTACTCTCTTCGATTCAAAATAATTGAAGTTTTAGGATTGTTCTAAGTCAAACTTCATTAAGTTTGACTATGTCTACAAAAAAATATATTAATATCTACAAAACAAAAATCACTTCATTAGATTTATTATTACGAAATATATTTGATATCATGGATCTTTGTGGATTTTCTATAGATTTGGTCAAACTTTTAAAAATGAATTTAAAAAATCATAGAACTTTAATTATCTTGAAATAGAGGGAGTATTTTGGAAAGAAAGAATCACCCACTAAAACTCTTTGTAGAATTGTTTATTTTCCCTGTGCTATCATTCATCCAAATTCCTACAGGATTTTAATTATATAAGATTCTAGTTGAGATGACACTCTAATCCTCCACTTCTTACCTATTCTTGTTTCTTATAATTATTATGAATCAAATAGACCCTTCATGTTTGTACTTTTAAAATAAATAATTATTTTGGGTTGCTCGATTTGTATAAATGCAGCTTGTAAGAACTTGCTTACACTTTGTTGTTTAAAGAATTTTCTGTTTAATCCAACCTTTTGAATTCATTTGTAGTTTTTCCAAAGCAACTAGGTGATGCAGCCATGACCCGGGGGTGGCTCACCGGGCTGGATAAAGCCAAAGGACGAATCAGGGCATGCGGGGCCCAGCAAGGATAAGAACCGACATTTTGGTGTCTTGCTCCACTACCTGTAAACCCTAAGCTCCACTACCTACATAAGGGAAGGTTAGGGAGCACCCATGGCATCTGGTCTTAGAGATAAACAACTTCCGGTAGCAGCCTAGTTCCCTATTGTATTGCCTCGCATGAGGTATCTCATCACCATCAATAACAAGAAGAAGCATGATGTCGGGTATTACTCTCCGGAGGCACAAACCTGGGTAACTTGCGCGTGTGGGCTCCGTCCGGTACTTCCGACCTCGTTAGGAACCCTACCGAGGGATATATGACGGTATTTTGCACCGTCAATTGGTGTGTCAGGCACGGGAGACGCTGATCAGAGACCTAACCCGGGGCGGAGATCAATGGTCGGCAAATTTACCCCTGGTCACATACGGGGTGTGGGGCACAAACCGGCCCGACGCACTCTCATGGGTCATCACCACCATCTTCCATCGATCCATCTTTAGAGCAGGTACTGACGCATCGACCTTGCCAGGCCTACCGTCGACGCCGTCACGGCACCAAACAGCGCCACTACCCTGCGCTCGTCCATCCAGACACATCTGTCGCCGAGATCCAGTCGCACCATCTCGCTGATACTCGCCGTCTTAACGCGGTTGATGACACGTCGCTCCACCTAAGAACCTTCGCACCACCACGACCGCTCCTCGCCACCCATAGCCCACCCTTAGAACAGCCCTCTCATGAACACCCAAGCCTCCCTAGACGGCGCCCTCATGAGGGATACAATGTGCATGGCGTCGCCGCCGCCCAGTCACACGGATTTTGGACTTTCTTCCGAGAGGGGGTCGGGGTGGATAGGATGGACATCGGCTTCGTGATACGTCTCCAACGTATCTATAACTTTTGATTGTTCCATGCTATTATAGTATCAATCTTGGATGTTTTATAGACATTTACAAGCAACTATTAATTTAGTGCCCAGTGTGAGTTGCTGTTTTTTGCTTGTTTTGGGTTTTGCACAATATCAATACCAAACGAAGTCCAAATGCCACGCAACTTTTTGGTGATTTTTTCTAGACATAAGAGACCCTCGAAGCTTCGGGAGAGGACGAGAAGATGAAGCAATGGCCCACGAGGCACCAGGGCGCGCCCAGGGGGTAGGGCACGCCCTGGTGGCTTGTGGGGCCTACGTGGCTCCGTTAGACCTAACTCCACCTCTATTCTCTAAAATCGTGAAACCAACAGAGGAGTCCATGAAATACTTTTTCCGCCGCCACAAGCCTCTGTTCTCGAGAGATCCCATCCGGGGACCTTTTTCGGTACTCCGGTGGAGGGGGAATTAATCATGGAGGGGCTCTACATCAACCTTGCTGCCCTTCCAATGACGCGTGTGTAGTTTACCACAGGCCTACGGGTCCATAATTGGCAGCTAGATGGCTTCTTCTCTCTCGATGTTCTTCAATACAATGTTCTCCTTGATGTTCTTGGAGTTCTATTCGATGTAATCACTTTTTGCGATGTGTTTGTTGGGATCCGATGAATTGTGAGTTTACTGTCAGATCTATCCATGAATATTATTTGAGTTTTCTCTGGACTCTTTTATGCATGATTACTATAGCTTCGTATTTATTCTCCGATCTATTGATTTGGTTTGGCCAACTAGATTGATTTATCTTGCAATGGAAGAGGTGCTTTGTAATGGGTTCGATCTTGCGGTGCTCAATCCCAGTGATAGAAGGGGACATGGCACGTATGTATTATTGCCATTAAGGGTAAAAATATGGGGTTTATTATACGTGAGTTTATCTTGTCTACATCATGTCATCTTGCTTAAGGCGTTACTCCGTTCTTTATGAACTTAATACTCTAGATGCATGCTGGATAGCGGTCGATGTGTGGAGTAATAGTAGTAGATGCAGAATTGTTTTGGTCTACTTATCTCGGACGTGATGCCTATGTATGATCATTGCCTAGATATCGTCATAATTATTTGCTTTTCTGTTAATTGCCCAATAGTAATTTGTCTACCCACAGTATACTATTTTCAATGAGAGAAGCCTCTAGTGAAAACTATGGGCCACGGGTCTATTTTTATCATATATTAAAACCAAAAATACATTGTTGTGTTTTTACTTTATTGATTCTATTTTGTATTTTTCTCTGATCTATCTATCAAATACCATACAATTTAATCTTGCAATTAACCATCAAGGGATTGACAACTCCTTGTTCGCATTGGGTTGCAAGGATTTGCTGTTTATGTGCAGGTGTTGCTAATGAGGTGTTGCTTGGTTCTTCTACTGGATTTATAACCTTGGTTCTTAACTGTGGGAAATACATATCTCTATTGTAATGCATCATCCTCTCCTCTTCGAGAAATCCCAACGTAGTTCACAAGTAGCTGGAAGAATTTCTGGCGCCATTGTCGGGGAGACATCATCAACATCTATCAAGTACTTACACATAAACTTCCATCTCCTTGCATTTATTTTTATTTGCCTTTGCTTCTCGTTTTCATCTCTCCCACTTCTAAAAAGTTTTTACAAAAATCATTTCTGTTTGCCTTTTCCTTGTGTTGCTTGCTTGTTATCTTGTTTGCATAGTCACGATGTCTCAAGAAAATGCAAAATTATGTGATTTTTCAGTACTATTAATAATGATTTTATTAGTACTCCGATTGCTCCTCCCACCACTAGTGCGGAGTCTTATGATATTAATGCCGCTTTGTTGAATCTTGTATTGAAAGAACAACTTTCGGGTAGTCCTAATGAAGATGTCGCGTCCCATCAAACAATTTCGTAGAATTGTGTGATATGCAAACGAAAAAGGATGTGGACAATGATATTGTGAAACTAAAATTATCCCCGTTCTCTTTGCGAGATCGTGCAAAGATTTGGTTTTCATCTTTGCCACGAAATAGCATTGATTCTTGGAATAAGTGCAAAGATGCTTTTATTACTAAGTATTTTCCTCCCGCTAAAATTATTTCCCTTAGAAATCAAATTATGAAAATTAAATTATGAATTTCAAGCAACTTGAGCATGAAAGTGTTGCACAATCCTGGGAAAGGATGAAATTAATGATAAGAAATTGCCCTACACATGGTTTAAATTTGTGGATGATCATATAAAAAAAATTATGCGGGATTAAATTTTGCTTCTAGATATTTTTTAGATTCAGTCGCGGGTGGTACTTTTATGGAAATTACTTTGGGATAAGCTACTAAGTTGCTTGATAATATTGTAGCAAATTATTCACAATGGCATACTGAAAAAGCTCCTACTAGTAAAAAAGTAATTTCGGTTGAGGAAATTAGCACTTTGAGTGATAAAGTTGATGCACTTATGAAATTGGTTGGTAGTAAAAATGATCCTAATGATGTGCCTTTTCGTCTACTTTGATTGAGAAAAATAATGATCCCGGAGATGTGAATTTTGTCTTGCGAAATAATTTGAATAGTAATGCTTATAAAGGTAATTTCAATCCTAGAACTTTTCTAGGAAATTTCTCTAACAATTATGGCAATTCCTATGCTAATTCTTATAGTAATAATAATAGGATGCCCTCTGATCTTGAGAATAATATCAAAGAATTTATTAATGCTCAAAAAGTTTTCAACACTATGATAGAGGAAAAATTGAATAAACTTGATGATATGTCTAGGAGCATTGACAGACTTATTCATGATGCGGAAAACCTTAAAACTAAAATTTTGCCACCCAAGATTGATATTAATGAATCAATTAAACCTTTATATGTCTCCATGGATGAGAGTAATAAAAGTGATTCTTCCCGATTTTTATCGTAGTAATGACGAGGATATGAAAATGATTGGTATTTCATCTATTGACTCCTTGTTTAGCAATATAAAACTTGATGTAAGGGGACTGAAGAAGAGTCAACTTTAGCTAGAAGGTGTCCCCATAGTTCGGTTGGTGAAAATATTGATAAAAATTGGTTTGGAGAGGTGAAAACTTTAACTAGTGATGTGCCCACTCTCTTGGATTACAAAGACTTTAACTATGATAGTTGCTCTTTGATTGAATGTATTTCTTTGGTGCAATCCATGTTAAATTCACCCAACG